TAGCACGCCTAAAGCAAACTACAAAATTCATTTTTTCAATATCTAAATTATATGAGGGGCATAGACTATGCGATCGAATGGCACACCTCACTTATTTAAAGTAAACGTACAAAGAACAATGAATTGAGGGTGCCATCTTTAAACTAGTTCCTAATTGTGATACAGAATACCAATTGTAAATACGTTTGAGTGGGGGGGGGGGGTTTAGGTCCTGAATCATACGAATTTGGGCCAACAACAGGCCCACTACACTACTCGAAGTAAGTTGCTTTAGGGAAACACGCACTGCTGGAGGCTGGGCTCGGATTTGAGCCCAAAAGAAAGAAAAGGGAAGCTTGAAACCAAGCAGGCCTGGCTTTGACTTAGGCGGCCCCATTTGGGCCAGGTCCAAATCTCAAACTTTGGCAAGGCTATCCAAACATTAAGGCCCTAAAGGGGCCCAACTAATTATAATTTACACAATCAACATAACATGCAAATTCTGACAGTCAGCACACCTAAACAATTATATTATGAACCCTTAAATCACTATTACTATTAGCACTAACGATCTGAACCTGGATTATGAAGCTGCTTATTAGTCATACTATTACACATACAAGAGTTCTAATAAGCATGCTGTTAATCATAATCAACAAGAGGTAAATTTCTTAAATTCATTCATGATTTACGTTAGATCTACACTTATTGTCATGCTAAACAATCCAAACACATGAATGTACATTCAACAACCTTTGACAAAGTCCCGATTAATTACAATTACTAAGTATAGAAAATTGTTAAAACAATTTATTGTAGACATGTGATTTTTGACCCTCCCCAAGATTTTTCATATTTTAGCACGCAAATATTTAATTTAGGCTTAATATAGCTATTTTAACTAATTTTTACTCTTTTACTTTATTTTGTTACAAGAAAAATAAAAATGACAAAAATTGTTCCATTGATGTTTTGTTAGTCATTTCTAACCTTGAAAAACAAAAAAAATAGTTTGTTATAATGGTCAGTCTTATTTTAACAGTTATTTTATTTAAGTAGGAATAATTAATATATAAGGTCGTATTTTAGTCCCGTTTGCGGAGAGAGTATAAAACTTGGGCTCGAGCAACCCATTTTTAGATCTAATTTTGGACCTAACCCATAATTCCCAAGCCCATAATTCCTAGGCCCATACCCCTAACTATGGCTGTCCAACGGGATGGGCCGGCCCGTCCCGTCCCGCGTCCCGTCCCGTCCCGCTTCAAGTTAAATGGGATGGCCAATGTTAAACGGGACACGGGATGGGACGGGACGGCCATTTCGTCCCGTTTGTCCCGTCCCGTTTCGTCCCGTTTCGTGCCGTCCCGCCCCGCGTCCCGCCAGTTTTTTTTTT